TCTATTACACTATGCACTATTGGCACTGTTGGCACTATTGCGGTTTGCGGTCTGTGCTGCACTATCGTTAGTATCGCACCTTTATTGCACTGTCGTGGCATATGTCGCACTATCGTCACTATCGTGGTCTATGTCATGCTGTCGTCACTATCGTGCCCCTATCGCGCTGTCGTGGCCTATGTCGTGCTATCGCCACTATCGCCACTATCGTCTGCTCTATTACACCATGACTATCGGCACTATCGCGGTCTATGTCGCACTATCGCGCCCTTATCGCAGTGTCGTGGTCTATGTCGCGCTGTCGTCACTATTGTGATTCGTGGTTTATGTCGCACTATCGTGCCCTTATCGCACTGTCGTGGCCTATGCCGCACTATCATGATCTATGTCGCGCTATCGTCACTATCGTAGTCTATTACACTATGCACTATCGGCACTCTCGTAGTCTATCGCACTCTCGTAGTCTGTCGCACTATCGTCACTAGTGTACCCTCTATCGCACTAACGTCACTAGCGTACCCTCTATCGCACTATCAGTCTATCACACTATCACACTCTTTTAGACAGAAGCTAAGAGTGACACAGCAGGGGGATAGGATGGGGATGGGATGTTGCAGTGCCTTCTGTATCCATATGTTCCGTCTCCCTCCCACACACACATACATTGCCTAGCACACAGTAGGTGCTTAGCACATGAATGCGAGTGAACACCAGATGATATGGCCCTAGAGCGTAATTTAGTCAAGAGATCAAAAGTGGTTGTCTTGAGTAAAAGGATAGATGAGTGGCTGAGTGAAATAGAGGAAAGGCATATCATATTTGCAGTATGCAAATTATTATATTTGTCCAGATGTGAGTGAAGGCAGAAAAGGATAAAGGGCATCAGATGTATTATTGAATTGTGCACTTGAAATATGTATCATTTAGTTGACCAATGTCACCCCAGTACATCTAATTGAAAAGTTAACGAAGGAAACATATAAGTGTAAAAAAAAAAAAAAAAGGCAAGTATTTTTGTTTTGATTTTTCTCCCTGTTGTATCTTTAGTACCTAAGACAATATGTGTGGTATACTCAGTAAAAGCTTATTGAATGAGAAATCGTTTTAAATTTATCTGTCTTAGGGAAACTAAGATTGGATATAGCATCTGGTGATGGAGAAAGTGGCCTAGGAAAATCTGAGTCCGGATTTGGAAGTGGAAACATGTCACTATTTGAAATGCAATTTGAGGTCATCCCTTTGATTCCCTATAAAAAATCTCACCATTGACTTTCTCATCGTCTTAAGGGCTGCTGAAACACTCTTTTGGAGAATGTGTGTTTATGACATTCAAGCACTGAAATAAGTCTTTTTGTGTTTACAGACTCCTAAGAAGAGTTACTGGAAATCTCCCAGCTCCTCTAAAGCTACACCCAGAAGGTTCCCTCGTACACCACGGACTCCATGCCCCCCTGAAAGGCTGCACCGGACCCCTGCAACACCACCACCTGCCAGACAGTTCCCTTTTGAGTCCCCAAAAGTCTCTTCGCATGGCTGGAATTTACCCTCTCCACCCACAGTCCCTCCTCATCAAGGATGCTGTGCGCCAGGAGGAGGTGCCTATGTGCTTGGAAAGATACCCATGACCCCCAGAAGGCCAGGTGGCCAGTCCCCCGGATTTGTGCCGAGCTCTATGTGGCCACCTTCAGCGAATTTCAGTCCAGAAAACACATGTCTGGCAGCCTCAGTGGCATCTACTGCCCAGACCTGGGGTGAGTGTGTGAGTCCTGCCAGATACTCTCTTCGATCGCCTGCGAGAGCGGCAGCCTTGGAGAAGCAAAGAGAAACTGGCTTTGTGTGCACCCCCCCGAATCAGACACACCAACATCCCCATGTCCCCGGAGCTTCTCAGGCCAAGGAGCCGGCACAGAAATGGAAGAGGAAAGCTGTGAAAACCCCTCAGAGACCAGGGGACACAACCCTGACTTCTTCCTCACCTGTGTCTCCAGAGGAACCCTGTGCCCCTCCTTTATGGGATGCTCCCAAGAGCCCACTCAGGCACTCATCGACAGACCCTCCTCCCCCTGGAGAACCGGGTTGGAAAGAGTCCCTGGAATCATCTAGCGTGGCCACACGTCTGTCCCATCCTGCTCCTTCAACTCCCCCCAGAACCTCACAGGCAGCTAATTCTGACATCATCCCCCCTCCGCCTCCTTCTAAAATTGGGAAAAGGCACAGAAAGGCCTCCGATCCTGAGAGCTGCTTCCAGGAGCGCCGGCGTCACAGCTCTGCTGCTCCTACAGCTGGTGTCCCTGACAGCCCAGATGCTGAAAAGGACCAAAGGGAAGTGAGCCCCTCTCCCCAGCCTCCTGAAAGGCACAGTGACCCTGGGACCGGCTTCGGGGGTGACTGGCTTACAGTCTCTCGTTTGCCTGTTGCCGGGGATGTGGAGTATTTCCCTCTCCTGGACGAGGCTGAGCGCCTTGGCAGCGAGGACGTGAATGGCAGTGTTTCTGCCCTGGGAGAAGGTGAGGGGTTAAGAGTGCTGGTTGCCGGTGAGAGGCATTCTCTGTCTCCCCCTGAGGTTCCCCGATCTCCTTCCTCTGGGCCCAGCTCCCCCCCGGCAGCTTCCTACGCCCTGCGCTGCACCGCAGACAGAAGACAGCGCCAGGCTGCTGCGCAGCCGCACCATCTGGACACTTCAAGTCAGCTTTCAAAAGCCCCTGCCAGCCCACAGAACTATGAGGTGGAGCTGAAGATGCAAGCTTCCGGTCTCCCCAAGCTTCGGATTAAAAAGATAGATGCCAGCTCCGGGGCAGAAGCCGAGCCCCTAAGAGAGGAGGGTGCCTTCCCTGATCTAAGCGTGCCCAGAGGCAGCAAGGCCTCAGGCAAATCCGAAACCACCTACGTGTCACCCCCCTGCCTTCACCCCTCACACAGCACCCCGGGTAAGAGCAACGGACAAACCTACATCTGCCAGTCCTGTACCCCCACCCGCTGCCCCTCTAGCACCCCCTGTCCATTGCAGACAGATGGTGGGCTTCCTTGGACACCATCTCCCAAGCACAGCGGGAAGACAACTCCCGATAGCCTGAGGGATTGGCCCCGCAGGAAGAGGGCCGTGGCCTCTGCGGGGAGGGGGGGAGTCAGCACAGATCTTTCTAGCTGCCTGTCGCTGCTCCCGCCTGAGGGATCAGAGCAGGACCTTGAACTTGGCATCAGCAAGAACCCCACCTTGGGGGATTTTGAGCTAGATGGGGTGTGTCAGCTGCCAGACCAGTCGCCTCCAAGAGACAGTGCACCTGAGGCTGAGGAAGCCATCTCCTGGGGACAGTTTGGGCTGGATTCCAGGAAGAGACACCTCTCTGCCCAGGAGGAAGCCAAGTGCCAGGCCAAGAGAGTGTGTGACAAGCAGAGAGAAGACTCAGAAGTTTGTACGAGCGAGAAGTCACCGAGCACGAGAGTGCGACAGCTCCCCTCCACGGGGGACGAGGAAGTGTTCATCTCAGGTGAGTGTTGCCACGTGGCTTCCGCTGGGCCGCACTTGGCAAGGAGGCATCTGGGAGCTGCTTCTGAAGGCAGCTCAGGCTTCCTTGTTGGGGACGCCTCGGGGCAGTGCTGACTGGGTGCCATCTCTTTAGGTTCCACCCCACCTTCTGGCTGTGCCGTGCGGGGCTGCCTCTCCGCCAGTGGTCTCCAGGCTCTGACCCAGTCCCCGCTGCTGTTCCACGGGAGGACGCCCTCCTCTCACACCAGAGGTAATTAGTGCAAGGTCCCGGCGACTTCTGCCAGGATCAGACTTCCGTCCTGTGGTGACTCCCCAGAGTTAGCTCAGGGATACCAGGCAGTTTTTTGGGAGTCGTAGGGACTGCCGGAATATGGGACAGATGGTTTTCTCCTACAGCAAGTGACATGTGCCCTTCCCAAACTCCACATTAGAACTTGTATGCATTTGAGCAGAAACCCCCTTCAAAGTCCTACCAAAATACTGGCGCTTCTGGAACAGGGTGACAGCAGTGGCCACACAGCGTCCTGCTCAGCCTGTAACCTGAAGAGGAGAGTGTTAGAGCAGCCGTTCTCCGTGTGCTCCTCCTGTATGTTGTTTGACAGCGAAATGGCTGCTGCCTGGAAAGAGCTGGATTGAGCTTGTGAACTGCACTGGTTAGAAAGGTTTTCTTCTAGAACAGCATAGGAGGTGGGGGCCTTCAGTGCTCCTCTTCCCTCGAGACCATGATATGAATCATGCAAAATAGCATCAACCCCACAGGTCTGAGACAAAAAGAACATACAAAATGACCGAACTTGAGTACAAGCCATACTTTGCTTTTCGCTGTCAGCCTGTGTTGACCTTCAGGGTGGGGGTGCCGGGGAAATGCAGGACAGTTTTGCAGGAGGAGCCTCCCCGTGGAACCCTCCGCCATTTGCTCCGTCCCGTTGCCTCCTGCTTGCTAAGCTTTCCTGTCTTTTTCTAGATGCTGGCGTGGCCGCGTACCCCGCCACGGCAGAGAAGTCTCCTTTTAGCCGAGCGCTCTCCGGGAGACGTGCCACCAGCAGGACGTACATACGGAAGAAGCTGATTAGCTAGTAAGGATGGAACCAGCCAGGGGACCTCTAACTGCCAACACTCCTGGGCTTGTCCAGAGCCCCTGCACCCTGGACAGCAATGCTCGGAGCGCGGTTTTCTCTGGGTGTGTCGGGAATTCTGGGGGCATATCATAAAGGAATTCTCAGCCGTGTGCCCACACGTAAGGGCACACGGGGTCTGACTGACCTGCACACATGTAAGCCCGGGTTTCATGGAACTGGGGAAGTTTACAAGGGAAGGTCACCCCGAGGGCCTCCACCCACCCCAGGTCCTGCCCGAACCCAGCGCCCCTTGTTAGGGCGCTGGTGTGCCGGGTGCTGTACCTCGGGCAGCTTGCGAGTCAGGAGCCACGCGAGGAACGAGCTGTGAGACCAGGACCTCTGGTCATGACGGTGGCAAGTCAGCAGCAGGCCCGCTGTGCCTCGCTGTGAAGCGGGGAGAAGGACCCCTCCCCGCCAGGAAGGGTCCCTTGTGAAGCTGCTGTGAGGCTGGGGCCCTGCGGCAGGCAGTGCTGGGACCCCGAAGCTCCCTACGCAAAACGGGCCTGTGGCAGGCGGGCAGCGCAACCCATCTCTCACGTTCCCTGTAATGGTCCCGTCTGGCTGCCTAGCATTCGGTGCGTTTCTGTGTAATGTGCCAGCCCGAGGTTCACTGGGACCTTGGCACAGCTCTAGTGCTGTCTGAGCAGCCACTCCCCATGCGCGGGGCACACACCGAGCTGTGGGTGCGCCTGCGGTGTCCCCAGGCCAGCCTGCCATCGGGTCTCGGCCAGGAGGCTGACTCAGCGCTGTCCCACGGTCTCTGGAAAACTTTCAAGCCTGTTGGGCTCCGACAATTATAAATCAAACTCAAAGTGAAAATTCCCATTTCTCTGGAAAGTATTCTCATTTATTATAAAATGGGTTTACACAATTCTAAAGATGTGCTAAGTTTCTCAATTCCTCCACCCTCCCGCCCCCACATACATAAGACCATTTAAAACAACCTGTGGCCACTGGCCATTCGGTGCCCCTCCTTGGCTGAACCCCAGAACAGCACAAATGGTGAGGCCACAATTGTCCTGAAACAAGCCAAAAGGTGGCAATCGGGTACCGTGGCTTCAAGGAAGCGAGTGTAGCAATCTATTTAAAAAAATAAATGGTTTCAGTCCAATTTATTTAGGTTGTGCGCAAATTTGTTGACTCTGGTTGTGTAAAGATCAGGACCACCTGATTTCGAGGGCGGCGAGGACTGTCCCGTGGAGACGCATAGGGCCACAGTACCTTTCAGCAGGCTCGGAACCTCCCTCCAAGGCCGGCTCTGTCCAGGAGCCTACAGGGGATTTCTCCGGACGTCGATCATCCCTGGGCTGGGCCTTCGCAGCTCCCGCCGGGGTCTGGCCAAGGGCCCCGGGTTCCAGGGCGGACCCACTTCCCCCACGGGGAGCACCCGCCCGAGGGGCTCGGCGGCCTCCCGCTGGCGCAGCTCCTCCGGGGAGCCCTGCTCCTCACCGCACTGGCTGGAGCGTCTCCATGTCAGCGGCAGTGGGGCACGGACCACGTCCCGCATCTCCTCCCGGGCGCGGGGGGCACCTTCAGCAGGGGGGTGCTGCCAGAGAAGCTCGGGTGCTGGAGGGAGCTCGTCTTCGTTTCCAAAGGGTTGTCTGTTCTCCAGGCACAGGGTCCTCTTCTCCCCACCTGTCACCGAGAGGGACGTCCTTGTCAGTCATGGAGGGAGCAGCACCTTCCTGAAACCCTAGCTTCCCAACACCCCAGTGCACTAATAAGCGACGTGTGAAATGACCCAGTAAGAGCTCAAGTTCGTGGCTTCTGAGCTCTCCCCCAGGCAAAGGAATAAAACCTGGCATGGGCAAGGAAGGCCGGGCAAAGCGTGGTCGGTCCGGACGAGCACTTACCCCTGCTCTGGGCCGCGGCGGTCACACCGCCCAGCCGCTGCCTGAGCTCCTGGTTCATCCACATGAGGCGGCCCAGCTCCTTCTCCAGGGCCTGGATCCTGCTCTCGTACTGCCTCTTACTGTCCGCTAGCCCGCCCCCAAGCTGGTCTAGAGGGGACAGAAAGAAGAGGGGTGAGGGGCCGTGGGCAGGGCGGGCGGGCGACAGCCACCCCAGCCCCCGGGCTGGGCGCGGGCCTGTCACCTCGACTCTGCTGCAGGAGGAGCTGCAGGTCCTGCGCGTGGCCCCTCTGCTGCAGTGTCAGCTGGCGGTCCATCTCCAGGCGCTGCCGCTCCAGGGCCACCTCCAGCCAGTACACCAGCCGCTGCTGCTCCTCCAGCCGCATCTCCAGCTCCGAGAAGGCGATCTGCTGCTGGTGCTGTTCCTCGCGGAGCGTCACCACCTGTTCCGAGACCCGGGATGGCGGGCATTTGGCAAAGATTCCACCACGGCAGATGTCACTAAGAAATCACCGGGGGTCTCCTGCTGAGCCCTCAGGCATTCCAGGCAGTGACTCCCAAATGATGAGAGCTGGCTCTCCGAGGAGTCGAACTTGCCATCCCTGCTGCAAACCCTTTCCCAGTCACACACTACGGAACTTGCAGGGCAGATCGTCACACTGGGGTTTCATGGAGCACAGGACTTCTCCACCTCCGCACACTGACACATTGGGCCACGCAGATTTTGGTTGTGGGGGGCCTGTCCTGTTCCTTGAAGGATGTTTAGTTTAGCCTCTATGCCTACTGTTTCAACACCCACACATGGCTACATGTCCCCCGGGTTAGCAAAATCATCCCCTGTTGAGAACCACCAATCTGGGCAAGAGCTACCCCAAAATGGTCTGTTCCACTAAGTGAAACAGGCTTTGAAGAGGAGAGTCTGAGACAGCCCTGGGAGACTAGTTGGTCCTGATTCCAACTCCCATCTGGGAGGACACAGGACATTCTCTGGAGCCACCCTCAGATCCCTCCCCCCCAACATGTTCCCAGAGGCAGAGGCAGGGGCTTGTGGGCCTGGGACCCACCTTGTCGAAGTACTTGCAGAGGAGGGCTCTGGTCTCTGAGGACGAGAGGTAGCTGAGCTTGGCCATGAGGTTCATCTCGCACTGGGACAGCAAGGAGGCGGAGGCCCGCAGCACCCGCTGGCGGCACGTGATGGCCTCGTTCTTGTACTCGATGGCAGCGTCCAGGGCCTCGATGGCCTCATCCAGCTGGAACAGCGTCCGCTCTTCCTGTGCGGACACGAGTATGCGTGGAGGAAGGGGTCCTGGCTCCCTGCACCGCAGGACACCCCCTCCCTCAATGACAGTCCTCGGCACAAAGCGACAACTGAGCCCTTCAGTGTCCCCTCGTCCTGAGCGCACAGCAGCACGTCCAGAGAGGTGCCCCTGCCCGCTATGGCAGGAACAGGGAAGCTTCCATCACAGCCCCGACCCCGGCGAGGAGGCTGGGGCTCTGCTCAGAGGCTCTGCTTTCTAAAGCGCGGGGCACCTGAGTGACCTGCACCCCGGAGCTCAGAATACCCTGCACCAAAGGAAAGGCCTGGCGAGGCGGCCCCAGAGCCACCAGAGGCTCTACGGGGTGAGTCACTTAACAGGCTTTCTCTGCTGCTCGCTGGTGTGGGCCCCACACTCATTCCCACACGGAGCTGACGCGTGTGGGCCAGTGGTCAATGCAGCACAGGACACAGCGAGTTCAGGTTCCAGCTGGAAGGGAACTGAGGGGCCACAAGGCCCAGCCCGTGTGTCCCAGATGAGGGGGCTGGAGGGGGGCTCAGTCCAGTCCTTTGTGGGCTGACAGACAGAAGGGACTCCTGTCCCAAAGCAGCAAGACCCGAGCAAGAGGATGCCAGCAGACGGACCGTGGGCAGCTGGGCGGACGGCCAGCCCCCGGGCGTACCTCGGCTGACAGCAGGCCGCCCTGCCGCAGCTTGCCGTCGATGTCCAGGCGCTGCTTCAGCAGCGAGTCCTTCTCCTGGCGCAGGGCGTCGATCTCCCCACGGAGCTGCCGCTGGCTCTGCGCGCTGCCCGGCCGCAGCTGTCCGCTCTTCTCGGACAGCTCCTGCTCCAGCTGCTCCAGCCGGCTGGACACGCGCACGATGTCCTCGTTGAGGGCCTGGGGGTGGCACCAGGGTTATCAGGGGAGGGGCGGGCCCCATCACAGCGCGACAGCCCACCCGTGGGCGCTAAGGAGGCCGGGGCCCTTCCTGCAAGAATCCTACAGTGTGGGAGCCTGCCTCAGTTCAGCAGATGCTTGCGGAGTGGAAGACCCCCCCCCCCGAGATGGCCCAGCAGGAAGGTACAGATGACAAAGCACTCCTGGCAAAGGCCAAGGTAGAGCGAGGTGGCAGTAGCCTGTCACTGAGATGACTAGGCTGGAGTCTGTCATGGGAACTATGGGAAGTCAGTGGCCAAACGCCAACGGCCCTTGCTGGAGCCTAAGGAGGAAGTGAGGGCTCAATGGCCAGGGGACCTTTGGAGAATCCAGCAGCACCCTGAACCCCCCTGCACGTCAGAGTGCTGCACGTCAGAGTGCTCCACGACAGCAGGAGTGGGTGTGGAACCCTGTGGGGCTCCAGCACAAGCCCCGCGTTTGACAGGGTCCTCGAATCCTCATAACAACATTATGACTCCACTTTATGACAGCAGGGAACTGGCTCAGCAGCGTCCTACTCATGAGGGAGTGATGCAGCCCAGGAGCCCTGGGGCGGGTGGGGGAGTGGTCAGCTCTGCCTGCGTCCAGTACCAGCGAAGGCTGTCTTTGCCCATCCCACCTTTCTGTGCCCGCCATTCCTTGTCCTGCCTGCGCAGTCTCAGAGCAGGAGCTACTGAGGTGAAAAGAACTGTGAGATAGCTACTTAGCGAGTTGCTACCCACACAGCAGCCCCTGCCTCATACACATCCTCAAGCCCCAGAGTTCTTGAGGGACCCATAGGCTATAGCCAAGCAGGACAGAGCTTCACCTGGCTGGAACTTACCTGGCGGGGACGTCACCCGTAAGAACCTCATCTGGCAGGACCTCACCTGGCTGGACCGCAGGCGCTTGCTCTCCAGCCCGGTCTTCTCCTGCATCAGGGCCTCCTTCTTGGCCAGGATGGCCTCCCTCTTGCGAAGCTCCGCCCCCAGCTCCTCCAGCGCCCGCCGCTGCTGGAGGACCTTCTCCATCTCCTGATCCAGCCACTTCTTCTGCTCCTCGATCTTCTGAGGGGAAGAAAGGGAGGTGGGGAGGGGACTCAGCAGCCCCCCGGGCTCAGAGGCGGAGAACGGTGTGCCCAGCAGCTGACCCGGCAAACGGTCAGGGATGCCCGGCCAGGCTGTGGGTGCAGCCGGCAGTGAGGCCGGCCCAGGCCTACCTGCTGCTGCTCCAGGCTGAGCACAGAGCCGCTGCTGCCGCTGCGCCGCTTCCTCTGGAACGCTGCGATCTCTGCCGTCTTAATCTTTAGGATCTTCTGCTGCTGTTCATGCTTCAGCTCCAGCTCCTGAGGGTGAGGGGGCGGGGCCGTGTGTGTGCCAGCGTCCCACAGGAGCCTGCCTGTAATCCCCAGGCCCAGTGGCGTGCCTGTCCCCTCCCAAGACGGCGGTGCACAGCGTCCCCCAACCCCGCTGTCCGCCCCTGAGCCTGCCGGGACCCAGCAAATGGAAGCAAACACTGATCCAGCTCCTACGAGGTAACATGCCTGGCGCCTTACACGGTTCATCTCACTCAACTCTCACCCTGGCCCTGACTTTCCTATAACTCTCCGCATTTGCAAGTGAGGAAAACCGAGGGAGGCCAAGTGACAGCGGCTGTGAGTGGTGGGAACGGGAGAGGACACAGACCTTAACGCGGTGCTGCCGCTTGTTCACTTCCGTCTCCAGGCGCCGCTTCTGCTCTGTCTCCTCGCGAAGCCGTCTCTGCAGCTGCCCATGCTGCTGTCGCATGAGCTGCACGCTCCTCTCAAGCTCCTGCAGCCGCTTCTCACTCTGGGCCGACAGAGACACCAGCCGCTCTGTCGCCTGCTTCTTCTCCTTCAGCACCTGGGACCAACACAGCCTCTGCTGGGCGGTGCGCAGGGCACTTCCGGCCCGGCACCGTGCTGGGCACTCAAGGGCAGGCGGGACCAAGGAACGATGAACGGATGGAGGCACAGACAGAAGGGAAAGCGGTCAGGTAGATGACGGACAGACAAAAAAATGTCAAGACTGCTAATGGGAGGTACACCGACACTGCATACCAGGCACATACCAAGTGCTCTGGGTATCTCGAAACGATCCTAACAAGCCTATCATAAAGTAGGATTATTATAATCCCCATTTAACAGATTAGGAAACTGAAGCACAGCAAGGTTAGGCAACTTGACCAAGGACACACAGCTAATAAGTGGCAGAGCTAGGATTCAAACCCATGCAGTCAGGCCCCAGAGCCCATGCTCCTGACCACTCTACTGTATTGTCTCCTGGACGCCTGAACTGAGAAAAGGAATGAAAGATGGACGGACAGCTGCAAAGATGGGCAGACGGATGGAAGAGTGGGTGGAAAGATGGATGGGATCGTGTAAAGGTAAAAAAACAGGATGGACAGATAATGCATGGATCGATAAAAGAAGGACATCAGGATAGATGGATAAATGGACACTTGGTCGCATTGACTGATAAAGGGATAAACAGGTGAATTACCTGGATTGATGGGGAGACAGAAGGGAGACGGATGAACAGGTAAGTGCATGGAGAGGTGAACGGAGGGAGGGCTGCATGAGTAAGTTGTCTTAAGGTGTCCGCCTCTCACCCTCTCCTTGGTCTCCCTGATGGTTGTCAGCAGGACCCACCTCCCCGCCTCTGCTGTGCTTAAAGCTGGGCTGACGCCTGGCACTGCCAGCTTCACTGTAACTCCAGCCTCACCCTGGGAGGTCAGGAGGGCGTCAGCACCGCCAGCCAGCTGGGCACCACCAGGTTGCACAGTGAGCTTGGGCCCCGGAGCCCACGTCTTGCTCCCAGGACCCCAGCCCGGGTGGCCGCAGCTGCCACCCCCCAGGTCCTGAGGCTGACCTGCACCTGGCTCTGGGCGGCCGCGACCCTCCTGCGGAACTCCTGGAGCTGGGACCGCTCGCCAGCGTCCTGGGGCTCCTTGCTCTCCAGCTCCCGCAGCTGCCGCTGGCCTTCGCTCAGCTCGGCCCGCACCCGCTCGGCCTCCTGCTCCAACTCCCGGATGCGCTGGCTGTGCTGACGGTTGAGGGCCTGGGCCGCCTTCCCTGTAAAACAAAGGGGTGCCGCGTCAGCACAGGTAGCCCCCTCTCCCCCACGAGGACCACCTGTTCGTTCCCCCTGGGGAGTTTTCCAAACCTCTGTCCGCCACGGACACCTACATGGGTTGTGCCAAGCCTTTGTACCACCAGCACCAAGACGACGGACTTCATATTTTTCTTTAAATCGACTCACTTTTGAAATTAGCCTCATCCATAGCAGTGACCCAGGGAAATTACAGGTGAACTAGTTTTAATTTTACCTAATACATGCTAAAAATATATAATGAGGCTACATATAATTAAGCCTCTAGAACCAACTTCCATTTCCAGGAAGTATGGAGGAGAGAGGAACAAAAGAAGCAAACACACAAACCCTGAAAATCTGGGGTTTGGAACGCTCCACAGGATAACTGAACTGGCGAGAGAAGGAAGACATCAGAGACCCAACAAGCAAATGCTGTGGGGGACAATTCTGGACCCGAGGCAAGCAAGCTAGCTCTACACGGACACCGATGAGCGATTGAGGAAGTGTGCTTATGCTCAGGGTGCTGAGGTGACAGTTTTGTTACCTGTGCTAATGGCACTTTTAGTTAGGTTTAAAAAAAGTCCCAAAAGAAACTGAAAGGATGACATGACATGATGTTTGGGATTTGCTTCAAAATAATTTGGGGGATGACGTCAGCATCAGGGCTGAGTGAGAAGAATCCAGCGTTTCTCCCTCCCTTAAATTTACAAGTGGAACAACTAGAACTCAACAAAGGACCCCCTGCCCAACACACAAACACACCTGAAACATTCGCATACTAGGACATCTGAAAGTGGGCGTATGGAGTGAGTAGCAGAGGGCAGGATGGTGGCCGCAGAGCAGTTCAGCGCCCACTGCAGCTCGACTGAGTGCGGAAGTCGGGCTGCAGCTCTCACACTACAGCCCGGAGCGTAAAAGGGGCCGGAGCAGTGTCCCACCTCCCTATCTGCAGAAAGGGAAAAAGTCCATACCGCCCAAAGCAATCTACAGATTCAGTGCAATTCCTATCAAAAAACCAATGGCATTTTTCACAGAAATAGAACCAAAACATCCTCCAATTCTTTTGGACCGAGAGACCCTGAAGCCAAAGCAATCCTGTGAAAAAAGAACAAAGCTGGCATTTTCACACTCCCTGATTTCAAAGTACAGTACAAAGCTACAGTTATCAAAACAGGATCGTTCTGCCAGGAAAACAGACCAATGGAACAGAACTGAGAGCCCAGAAATAAACCCACAGGTATACGAAGAACTGATTATCGCCAAAGAGTCACAAACATGCAATGGGGAAAGGAAAGCCTCTTCTATAAACGGTATTGGGAAAATTGGAAAACGAACTGCAAAAGCATGAAACTAGACGGCCATCTGACACCATACACAAAAATTAACTCAAAATGTATTAGGCACTTGAATATAAGACATGAAACAATAAAACACATAAAACACAGGTACTAAACTGAAGGACCTGGGTCTCTCGGAGAGGTTTCTGTGAACTTAACCACAAAGGCAAGGGAAAGAAAAGCAAAAATAAATGACTGGGACTACATCAAAATCAAAAGCTTCAGCACAATAAAAGAAATGATCAACAAAACAAGAGGCAACCAACCGAATGGAAGAAGATATTTGCAAACCATACCTCCAATAAGGAGCTAATATCCAAAATATATCAAGAACTCTCACAACTCACAACAACAAAAAAATCCAATTAAATGAGCAGGTGGATTTTCCGGTCAAGATGGCGGAGTAGGTAAACACTGTGCTAACCTCTCCTCTCAGGACATCAATTACAACTAAACCACAGAAGAACGATTACTGACTACAGACATACAGAAGAAGCCACCTCGACACTGGTAGGAGGGACAGAGACATGGCACAGGCTGGCCCCACACCCGTCTGTGATCATTAAAAATCAGGAGGGATATCTAAGCTGCGGAGGCCCCCCTCCCCCATCACCGCCTGGAGAGCGAGGGGTCCAAGTCCCTTCCCAGCCCAGGGTTCCAGTTCCAGGCGAGAAGTCCCCATAACTTCCGGCTGTGAAAACCAGCAGCGATTGTGGCTGAGTGACGTAAGGGCTACTGCACTCCCAGGCGCTCCTCTTAATGGGCCCAAGCATGGTCTTACTCGCTGATGGACTCGCCAGGCCTGACCTCCCGCTCCAAAGGCACAAAGGACACAACAGGGAGAAAATGAATTGTCTACCTTCAGGGTCCAGGCTTGGGGGGCAGCTTTCTCATAGGTGGAGGACCTGGCAGAAGCCATTGTTTGTTGAGCCCTATCCCTCTCTGCATGCACACGCAGGCAGACACCATATCTGAGTCCCCATCAAAGTGGCTATCACCTACTGAGTCCCTAAGAACAAGCCCCTCCGAACTTCAGGCACACCCAAGGAACTTCCAGTGGCTTTTCCTTATAAACAGCCTACCTTGGCTAATGCTGTGGACTTTACTAAAATCTCTCAAAAGTTCACAGAATCCAAATGAGCAGCATTAGGCTTCGGCGTGTCCTATACCCTCTGGCTGAACAACCCTAGGCCAACACTAGCGACAGCTGGCCTTGGTTTGCAACTTGGCATCCCAAGGTACCTCCAAGCACAGCGCAGGCAGCAATCATCTCTGGATTGCTTTGTGGCTCAAGCCAGGTGGCCCCCGACAGGGCCCAGACTGTAGCTAAACTTGGCCTGCAGTGGGTCCCCTCCCAGGAGGCCTTGGGGCTGGCAGGCCCAGTGGCCAGCTTCAGACTGCTGGCCAAAGCATCACCCGGCCACCTCCAAGAACCACACACCCAAACAGCAGACAGGGCAGGCACCAGGGCCCTGCTAAAGTGAATCCTGCACTGTAGTCACAGCCAGTCTTCACAACCAATCAGCCTGAAGGTCAATGTCTCCCATGATGTGCAAACAGCAACCAAGGCTCAGCTACAACAGGACACCCACAATCCACACAAGGGACACACCTGGAAGACCTGGCTCTGGTGACCAGGGGGACTGTGCCACTGGGTCCCACAGCACACCCACCACATGGGCCACTCTATTAACCGGGAGACACAGCAGCTCTACCTAATACATAAAAACAAACGCAGGAAGGCAGCCAAATGGGGAGACAAAGAAATATGTCCCAAATAAAACTACAAAGCTCCAGAAAAAAGAACAAAATAGAGAGAAAGCAATCACCAGAAACAGTGTTCCAAATGCTGGTTATAACGATGCTCAATGATCTCAGAACTTCAACCTAGAGATAGGAAAAATAAAAATTTATATAGAAAACAAAAAAAAAGAAAAAAAACCCCACCTGTCAGAAATAAAGATTACAATAACTCAAATAAACAAGAAGGAATCAACAGATTAAATGAAGCAGAGGATCAAATCAGCAATTTAGAGGATAAGGAAGCAGAAAACACCCAATCAGAACCAGGAAAAAGAAAAAAATTCAAAAAAGAGAGTTTAAGAGACTTCTGGGACAACATCAAATGCACCAACATCTGCGTCACAGGGGGACCAGGAGGAGAAGGGAGACAGCAAGGAATTGAAAACCTATTTGCAAACATGATGACTGAAAACTTTCCTAACGTGGCAAAGGAAATAGATATACAAGCCCAGAGGGCAGAGTCCCAAACAAGATGAACCCAAAGAGGCCCACACCAAGCACATCATCATTAAAATGCCAAAGGTTACAGACAGAGAATCTGAAAATGAGCAAGTGAAAAGCAGTTAGTACCTACAGGGGTGCTTACATAAGACTGTCAGCTGGTTTCTCAAAAAGACTTTGCAGGTCAGAAGGGATTGGCAGCAAATGTTCCTTGCTTTTCATCACTTTGAATTTCAGCAAGGATTACTCTACCCAGAAAGGCTATCATTTAGAATCGAAAGGCAGATACAGCTCCCCAGAAAGAAAAAGCTATGGGAGTTCATCACCACAGAATCACTATTACCAGGATTATTAGAAAGACTGAAGACAAAAAAAAATTTTTTTAAATAAAAAATAAAAAAGGCAATATTTACATATCTATCAACACTTACTTTAAATGTAAATGAATTAAATGCTCCAATCAACAAATAGGGGGGGCTAAATGGATAAGAAAACAAGACCCTTACACATGCTTCCTACAAGAGTTGCACCTCAAAAGACACACACAGGCTGAAGGTAAAGGGATGGAAAAAGATATTTCATGAAAATGGAAACACACAAACAAAACAAAAAAGCTGGGGTAGCAAACTGACACCACACAAACTAAAATTTATTGTAAAACAAAAACTATAGCAGCAGGAGACAAAGAAGGACCTAGGAATGCCACTTCTGGGTATTTCTCTGGACAAACCCAAAATGCCATTAAAGAAAAGGGTAAATCTTGCCGGCTGTGACAACGTGGATGGAACTAGAGGGAACTGTGCTGAGTGTAATAAGTCAGACAGCGAAATGCAAATGTCACAGGATTTCACTTGTAAGTGGACTCTAAGGACCAAAACAAACAAATGAAACAAACTGATAGATACACAGAACATTTAGATGGTTGTCAGATGGGAGGGGATAAGGGGTGGGTAAAGGGGAAGAAACTAAGAAGTACAAATTAGTTCTTATACAGCAGTCAGGGGGATGTAGGGTGTAACATAAGAAATAGAGTCAATACTATTGTAATAACTATGTATGATGTCAGATGGGGACTAGATCTATCAGGGTGATAGGTGGGAGGGGGGTTGAGGGCAGGGTGAAAAGGTGAAGGGATTAAGAAATACAAGTTGGTAGTTACAAAATAGTCATGGGGATGTAAATTATAGGGGATATACTCAATACTATGGTAATAACTATGTATAGTGCCAGGTGGGTATGAGAGAGGGTCACTTTCTAAATCATAGTCTAACCACTATGCTATACACCAGAAACTAATGTAAAGTAATACTGAGTGTCCACTTTAATTGAAAAATTTATAAGCAGTGAGGGCAAGATCAATAATATTCTGATAACACGGTACAATGTCAGATGGTTGTGGA